GAGCCCCACTTATGGGTCTGTGTGGGTCACAGCCCCACTTATGGGGCAGAGCCCCACTTATGGGTCAGTCTGTGTGGGTTAATGCCCTACTTATGGGGCAGAGCCTCACTTATGGGTCTGTGTGGGTCACAGCCCCACTTATGGGGCAGAGCCCCACTTGTGGGTCAGTCTGTGTGGGTCACAGTCCCACTTATGGGGCAGAGCCCCACTTATGGATCAGATCCCACTTATGGGTCACAGCCCCACTTGTGGGTCAGAGCCTCACTTATGGGGCAGAGCCCCACTTGTGGGTCAGAGCCCCACTTATGGGGCAGAGCCGCACTTGTGGGTCAGTCTGTGTGGGTCAGAGCCTCACTTATGGGGCAGAGCCCCACTTATGGGTCTGTGTGGGTCACAGCCCCACTTATGGGTCACAGCCCCACTTGTGGGTCAGATCCCACTTATGGGTCACAGCCCCACTTGTGGGGCAGAGCCCCACTTATGGGGCAGAGCCTCACTTGTGGGTCAGTCTGTGTGGGTCAAAGCCCCACTTATGGGGCAGAGCCCCACTTATGGGTCTGTGTGGGTTAATGCCCTACTTATGGGGCAGAGCCCCACTTATGGGTCTGTGTGGGTCACAGCCCTACTTATGGGGCAGAGCCCCACTTATGGGTCAGTCTGTGGGGGGTGATGCTGTGGGGCAGCGTCATGGAGTGTTGCTATGGGGCAGAACTGTGGGGCAGGGCACAACTTATGGGGCAGAGCTCCACTTATGGGGCAGAGCCTTACTTATGGGTCAGTCTGTGTGGGTCACAGCCTTACTTATGGGTCAGGGCCCCATTTGTGGGTCAAAGCCCCACTTGTGGGGCAGAGACCCGCTTATGGGGCAAAGCCTCACTTATGGGGCAGAGCCCCACTTATGGGTCAGTCTGTGTGGGTCAGAGCCTCACTTATGGGGCAGAGCCCCACTTGTGGGTCAGTCTGTGTGGGTCAGAGCCCCACTTATGGGGCAGAGCCCACTTATGGGTCAGTCTGTGTGGATTAATGCCCTACTTATGGGGCACAGCCCCACTTGTGGGTCTGCGTGGGTCAGAACCTCACTTATGGGGCAGAGCCGCACTTATGGGTCACAGCCCCACTTATGGGTCACAGCCCCACTTATGGGGCAGAGCCCCACTTATGGGTCTGAGCCTCACTTGTGGGTCAGTCTGTGTGGGTTAATGCCCTACTTATGGGTCAGATCCCACTTGTGGGTCAGATCCCACTTATGGGTCAGGGCCCCACTTATGGGTCACAGCCCCACTTATGGGGCAGAGCTCCACTTGTGGGTCACACCTCCATTTATGGGTCACAGCCCCTGTGACCTATGGGGCAAAGGCTGACCTATGGGGCAGAGACGCAGCTATGGGGCAGAGATCCTCATCTATGGGGCGGAGACCCATCTATGGGGCAGAGACCCTCATCTATGGGGCAGAGATCCTCATCTATGGGGTGGAGGCTCTGACCTGCCCATCTATGGGGCAGAGGCC